TATATATATATATATATATATATATATATATATATATATATATAAAGGGGAATAAGTATGTGACGATCACTTCTCACAATCACAGTGAGACTCCTCACAACCATATATATGTGTGCGATCGCAAACAGTCAAATCCAAAATCCGAACCACAGAACATACCTGCAATCACATCAAGAACTCAACCAAAAGTCTATGCACTACACGGAGTCAACTTCAACTAATCTTTATACTCATACCCCTCGCTTTAGCCATGCAAGCCCTAGCCCTTATCCAACCAACCATAATTAAATACTCATTACCTTTGTTAAATGACCATTCAACAAAAGTCCGGGTGAAAACCTTCATAAAATAATAAAATTCACCAGGGCTAAAACCTTTCTGGTTTAGTATTGAGGATGAATAAGAGTTGAGTCGTAGACCGACGAATCAGCAACCGACCTGTTATCAATGATAACAGAAGGTGATCGTTGTAGGATCAATCTAAATTGAGTCCTGACTTCGAATCAAACGTTCAAGAAGACCTGTAACACAAGACAGGTCAATCCCCAAGCTAAATCTATGAGTCCAAATTGAGGGTAATCTCCATATCACGATTTTCATCAAGAATCATTCTATTTGACTAATCATGAGTCTACCCCTAAGTCAATACCTAATGAAAAGGTAGACCTTTGGTAGAATCTCTTCTATACATAGTGGATTGTCAGAAATGTCACCCGTTAAAATATAATGTAACTCCTCTAAACTAAGAAAATTTCGGCAGCGCTTTTAGTAGGAAAAGTGCATTTGCAAAATTTATACTAACTAAAATATACAAAACAAAACAAACTCTGATTTAGGAAAGTCAAATTTTGTCTAACTCTTCTGAATTAGTAAAGATTTTGGGCAACATTTCCTTTAGAAAGGTAAACTTCCCAGATTTATACTAAGTAAGAAAGTTAAACTTGAGTTCGACTTCAACACCAAATTTAATTAACTCCTTAGATTTGTAGAAATTTCGGCAGCGCTTCCCGTAGAGAAAGTGTTATTCCAAGATTTATACAAAGTTAAGTTCAAAATCTTAAAAAAATGACTTTGACTTCTCAAGGTCCAATTTTGACGAACTCATTGAATTAATAAAAATTTGGGCAACATTCCCTTCAGAAAAATAGGTTTTCCAGATTTTTACAAAGCGAAAAAGTCGGAAAAATTGGACCCTAAAAAAGACAAAAATTGACTAACTCCTTGGTTTTGTAGAAATTTCGGCAGCGTTTCCCATAGAGAAAATGACTTACCAAGATTTATACAAGAACAAGTATAATAAATAATCCTAGAAAATACAGAAATCGACCTAAGTAAAAATAACTTAGCTAAGAAAATGTAGGAATAGGAACTAATTCTTACTGATGTAGCACGTGGTGAGCAACTAAAGCAACTACCTATTAAACTGAAACTCAGACTAAGTAGTAGTCGCACTCAGTCACATCCAGGTCAAACCACAAAGGTAAGTACTCTCACTATCCCAAAGTCAATTTATTAAACAATAGTTCATGGTCTCTCAATGATTTATCTCTTTATACCCATGTACCATAAAGATAAGTACTCTCACCATCTCAAAGTCAATTTATTAAACAATAGTTCATGGTCTCTCAATGATTTATCCCTTTATACGCAGCTTGTATAAGGCATAAACGTAGACCACCCAAACTTATGGAACATGTTTAGCTCAGCCATTGAGTATACACAAACATAGGGCATAACAACTTTTCTCTTCTTTGAGCATATGATTAGGCCACCCTAGTCACCCTGAACTGCTTGAGTATCCCAACTTTATACAATTATCTGCACTTAGTCTTCTGAGGTAGCATATAACTCAACCGATTTGTCTGTCCCTTCATACCACAAGTTTATTCTTAATTAGTACTCTCTTCAGCTGGTGATAAGCTATAGTCAGACCACCCAAACTTATGGAACCCTGTCTGACTAGCCTGTTCATAAGTAGGATAGTAATAAAGTAGAGTCAAGTTATAACCTTTTGGTTCCAGCATGTGCGTGGCGTTGGACCAAGACCACCCAAACTTATGGAACATGTCTTGGTCCTCAGCCTGGTTCATTTATCTTAAGACCAAAGCAAGAAGAGGCTGAGCCACCCGAACTTATGAAACATGCTCAGACCTCCTCATTCAGAACAAAAAGAAACTGAGTTTATACCACATTTCAACTGTTTATAAACTGCTGGCCGGGGGGGGGTGTATATGTTCAACACAAAATGAAGGAAACCAACACTGGCCGTATATTGGGGACACTGAAACTTGTGTGTTCAACTGTTGGACCAACTGTTGAAAAACAGTTGGTCCAACTGTTGATCCATTGTTGGTGGCTTGTTGAAATGTTGTTGAAAGTTGTTGGAATGTTGTTGAAACTTTGTTGAAATGTGTTGAACCGTGTTGAAACTGTGTTGGAATTTGTTGAAGCAGGGTATTGGACCGTATGCACTAGCAGTTTCTACACATATCATTTGCGTTGTCCGGGGGTGGGTTGTGATTGTGTTTTCCTCGTTTTGTGGTGAGCACGTTTTGGAGTACGAAGATCACATGGGCGAGCGTTG